TTATGTTTTTCAAAGACTTGTAAGAGGTAATGGTTTCTGTAAATTATAAAGTTCAACCTTTTCTGTAGGCTTTTGGGGATGATTTTTTAGAAGACAAGCTTAAACCATTCTTTAAGTCAGACCCAATTCCTGAAACTGTAAGTATCTCTTTTTTGACTGATTCACTTTATCATCATTTATTGAAATCTAACTTTCATTTTCCATTTTGTGTTTTTTGACTCCAAAATTCTATTTGGCACAGAATGATGAGGATGTGAAAGTAGTGGTTGGCAATAACTTTGATGAAATTGTTTTAGATGAGTCGAAGGATGTCCTTCTTGAGGTACTGCTGTAGCCCAATTTAGAAAAAAAAGAAGAAGCTTATTTAAATCTCTCTTTAAATGCGCTTATTCTGTTGAATGCTCTGAATTCCAGATCTATGCACCTTGGTGTGGCCATTGCCAAGCATTTGAGGCGACATACAACAAACTTGCCAAACATCTACGTGGTGTTGACTCTCTGGTAATTGCCAAAATGGATGGGACAACAAATGAACATCCTAGGGCAAAGGTAAGATTTAAATCAATCTGCACTTCCATCTGTTATAGCACTTTTTACCAGATTCACTAGTGATTTATAATACATTTTCTCCGTAAGCTTGACCACCTGAAGAAGAAATAGCGAAACAAGCTGTTTTGGTATAGAAGGATGTGATTCCAATGCTATTTTGTACTTGATCTAGCGTGAGACAATATGATAACAAGTTTTGCTTTTGCAGTCTGATGGTTTCCCCACGATTCTGTTCTTCCCAGCAGGAAACAAGAGTTTTGATCCTGTAAGTACTGTTTTCTTTCTGCCTCCATGAATCCTCATACCCTTTTCTCTCACTAAACAGTGGAATGAGTGAAATTGTTTGCATGCTGGGCATTGGCAGATAACTGTGGACACCGATCGCACTGTAGTGGCATTATATAAATTTCTCAAGAAAAATGCTTCAATCCCTTTTAAGCTCCAAAAACCAGCTTCTCCTCCCAAGGCTGAACCAACTTCGACTCCGGAAACCAAGTCTCCTGACTCCAAGGAGAGCGACAAGAGCAGCAGTGCAGATTTGAAGGATGAGTTGTAACCTGATCGGAAGGCTTCAAAGATGGGGATTTTAATGACATCCTAAGTTATGTGCCTTTTTTTTATGTGTTATCAATAGGTAGAGAGGGAATTAGCTATAAGATTGATTCAAAATAGAGTGACTAGAAAAGACAAAGAATCTCGTGGTTCAAACATCCGGCCCAGACTGCTTTCACCGAGGAAAAGAGGGAAACAAGAAAAAAAGTGTGGTGTATTGGCTTTCAACCATTGTTTCTCCTATGTATCTCTGAAACATATACTGAAGAATAAATTAGCTCCTTATTTCCCCATTTGTTATTCTGAAATACCTTAAAATAATTTCTATTTTGAAAGGGAGGATATGAATTTTGATTTTTTTTTTTAACAGAGAATTATATACTATTCAGTGAATCAAATATTGCGATGAGTGAATTTCGACATCTGATTCATTATTGAATTGATGTATCCATATAAAAAATAATTTTCTCCCATTAATGTTGACTTATTGTTAGTACATGAAGTAGATCTCAAGAATTTTTACCCCTCTTGATCTAGATCCAAGTCCTAAATTTTTAATTGGTTTAGCTTACTGGTAATGACAAAAGGGTACTCGGCGAGAGGGGCTTGGGGCGTGGGGGTTGAGCATGTGAAATCATGTGGCATGGCCCATGGGAGTTGGTACCCATCAATCAAGCATCGCGGTTCCACCGAAGTCACTAGTCATATCTTTAACGCGTACCAATCACTAATTGAACGCGGATTAATTTACTTGGTAAGGGGAAATGTTTTCCTTCGTTGTTTCGTGAGAAATATTTTAATGTTAAAATTTTAAACACCTCAGATCCATATAAAATAAATAAAAAATTAGATTAGCATACTCATTATATTTTAATATTTTCATCTCACTAATAAATATTCACTTCCCCAATAAATTAATTACCCTTTTAACGGTTAAAGTGTTCTTCTCAAAACATATTTCATGCATGGAATATATGTGACTCGTTTGATGAATTGGTTAGATTACGTAAGTATTTAAAATTAGGTTTTATTTTATTTTAAAATTTAAAATTTAAAGATAAAAATTTTAAATATTTTTAGATATTTTAAAATTACGAATTTTAAATTTTAAATTTATTTATTAATGATGTTATAATATTAATTATTAACCATGTATATGTCATGCATTTACATTTTTAATCCAAAAAAATGACCCACTTAAGTTTGCTCTTTTGCATATAAAGAAGAGGAACTTAATTTGGTTCCAGCTTATCTCAACCTTAATCTCTCTCATAGGAGTCTCATGCCAATGAATAATTAGATAGGTTATGATATTATTTATTATGAATCAATATTTTTAATTCAAAAAATCATATAAAATGAAAAAAAACCCTTATTTATAAATCTAAAAACATTTCATCTTTTACTATCGTGATATCAGTAACATTTAAACCCATTTACAAATATAATATCAAATATAAACTATTTTGTAATTGTTTCTTTAAAAGAATTAAGCCAAAATAAATTGAACAAGACAAAAATATAACAATCAATTATGTACAAAGAATTAATTATAAAATACATCAAATATGACATAATTTTGTCATTATGTATGTAATTAAACACAATCAAAATCAAAGAAAAGGATTCCCATCCTACCCCTTTTTTTCCTCATGGCTTATTGCATATTCAATCATTTTCCCATTCTTTAATCCCTTATTAAGTTCCCATACTCTCCCTTTACTTACTCCTTAAGTCCCTTAATTCCCTCCTCTTATATAAATAAATAAACATTTTCAAACATTTTTCTCCAATTTCAATTCTACTTCCAAATTCAGTGTTTGGGCCTTGCTTAACTCCGTTCCGTACTCCTCCACTTCCGTTTGACGTGTATACAAAAATTACGAATTTATATCCCCCTGAATTTCCGTTCCGCTAGATCTACCCCGTTTTTATCCTTTTTATTCTCTTGTATCTCTTCTTTCAAAGTCTTCATTTGCTTTGAAACTTCCTTGACTTCTTCACATCTTAAGATTTTTTCTCGGTTTTTTTCTTAATTTTGAACTGCATTTTGTGGAAAGATTTTCAGATCTACTGTAATGGAGAAACTCGGAATGCTTACCATTTTGTTGTTATTGGTGCTTCAACTCGCTTTCGCTGCCGATTCGCCGACGCCTGCCCCTGCTCCTTCACTAGGTGCAGACGCATCGCCGGAACTCGCTCCTACTCCGGAGACTGGATCTCCTGACTCTGCACCAGCATTCTCACCGGTGACGGCTGCATCGCCTCCAGCGCCAATGGCGCTATCTCCCTCAGATCTGGCGCTAGGAGAATCACCGGCGAGTTCTCCCGCTCCGTCCCCGGACGAGGCGAGCGATATCAACCACAGCAACGTCAATGCGCAAGGAAGTGAAGAGGAGAGTGGTGGTGACGGAGGAATGAGCGGCGGGAAAAAGGTGGGAATCGTTGTGGCCGTGGTGGTAGCGTCGTGTTTGGTCATATTCGGCGGATTGGTTTACAAGAAGAGACAAGACAATATCAGGAGATCTCAGTATGGATACGCCGCCAGGAGGGAAATCCTGTGAAGAAAGACGCGAGTTCCAGGTTCATACAAAATGAATTAGAAGTGGTTATATTAAAAAAATTCTATCACTCGCATTCGATTTGTATCTCTTACAATGATTTTTAGTTGAACTATTCGAAAAATTTATTTATTTTTATTCTTTTTAAAGTTTTCCAATATTTTTTATTCGTCTTCGCAGTCGACTCTTAGCCAGTCCTGTACTCTGCATTGTTACTATTAGTCAACTATGTCTATTCGTTTAGTTTATTTCTTTATTTTATTATTATTTGTCACCGATGTTCTTGAGACGAAGGAAATAATCGATTGAATTCGTGTAATTGAATTGATTTTCGATAGCATTTTTGGTAGAGTTTTCGGCCATTTTGGCTGTAAAGGCTACCTGCAGGCGCCGCCCTGTCTCCTCCGCTGCTTCGCCGTCCGATATCATTAAATGCGGCTGCCGTTAAACTTCGACGAAATTAATCATTGGTACGGTGGTTTATGATTAGCAGGCAGCAGTTTGGGTGGGATGTATGTTGTTTCATGTGACCTCTAACCACCAAATTCATCCCTCCCTGAAGGCAGAGTCCTTTCTTAGTTTAGCCTCGTGGTCCCCGTTTGTACTGACTGAAAACGGGAAAATGCGCCATCGCCCATCGCATTAGTCACTAGGGCCAAGGTTGTGAGGGCATACACATGATTTTGTTACATGCTAAACGTGCTAAAAAATACATCACCAATGAAGAACTTCGGCCGATTTTGGATATAAAACTAAGGGTAAAATATTTATATTTTTAAATTTTTATTGAATTTCACCGGATTAATTAATTTTTGAAATAGACAATGAAATCTAAAAATGTAAACACTATTATTTGAAAATATAAAATAATTAAAATATATTTTCCCTTCAACAATGTGATCGAATGCTTTTCTTTGTTGAATTTTTTATTAAATTTTTTTTTTAATATTATCATATCATCAAATTCATAAAAATAATAATGAAATTTATATATGCAATGAAAGATATTTTTAAAAAATGTTAATGGGATTTGTATGTCCAATAAATTTTTTTTTTTTGAGACGAAATATCTAATTTAAAAAATAAAAGATCTATTTAAAATTTTGATTAAAACTTAAAGGGTTTAAGTATTTTTGTCCTCAAACTAAGTATTTTTTAAAGAATTATTAAAATTTAAATCCTTATATATATATATTTAAGTTCGTTTATGTTTACCATATGAATTTAAAGGTTTTAAAAGGCCTAAAGCCCAAGAACCATTGAGGCCCAAGGGACTCTAGAAAGCCTCAAATCTGAATTTGGGTTTGTAATAAATACAAAATAAAATAAAGAAAATATTTATGGTGAAAACGGTACCTACATATTCGCCTTCGGCGTTTCCGCCCAATTGCTAAAGCATATAGAAGTAAACGCGTGAGTGTTTGGAAGCGGGCAGAAGAGATGGCGAAGCGAGTGGGAACGAGTCGGGACATGGGCAAAGGCAGGAAAGGGTGGACGCTGACCGCCGCCGTCAACGCCGTCTTCGAGTTTTTCAGATTGGCAGAGTTCGAGATCCTTTTCTTCCTCTTCTTCATCATCGCTTTCCTGATCTTCAAAGATCTCACGTCGCGGCCTGAATACAATCAACTGCTGGTTAAAAAGCCTGGCGGAGTGGATCTGTGGCCTTATTAACAGTAAGAGGTGGTGGACGGTGACGGTGGTCGACGGTGGAAGGTGGATGTCAAGGATGCAAAATCTTTCGCATATTTCGAGCTGCATGTATTACATTACATATTTGTTGTTGTTAAGGTCATTCCCTGCACTTTCAATTCTTCCTTTTTACTTTGTTATTTTCTAGTGTAAATTTGATCTTTGAATAGAATCAAATTAATGAACAGTTGGTTCAATCGGTTAATTTGTTCATCTTGACAGTACATTATTGGGTTTAAATCAGTTACTTTGTTTAGTCTTTTGAATTTGAACATCGATAAGATCTTGTTGACAGTATTCAAAATGTAAATCCCAATAGAATGGGCGAAAAAAACTGTACGTTTACGTCTTAAACTTGCCATTTTGGGGGTTGGACTTTAGAGGCTGGAGCCAGCCAATGATGAAATGGAGGAAGATAATCTTGAGAAACATTTGCCAATAAAACTGTTAATACAACACTGCATATAGGTTGAGCAGTGAGTACATAGTGCAATTTCTTTGCAGTCTACAAGTAGGCATTGAACCTTACAGATTTGATGCTTTCTCGTGCTGTGATTGACTGTATGTTGGTTGGTATATTGAGAATACCTGTATACAAGGATGGGGAAGGTGATTCCCCTCAACAGAGGCTACACCAAACTGCATACTAGAATCTTTATTCTTCGGCAGGAGGGTCTACCCAGCGGCCATGATCTTTTATTAATTGGATCAGAGCATCGGTTGCATGCTCCATTGCAATTCCACGCTGCACAACAGTCTGGAAAAGAATCAAAATACCAGTTAGTTTCACCGTATGTTGAAGTTGGAAGACAATTTTTCCCTGAATTCAAAAGCATGAAATCATAAGAGTACCTTGCCAACATAGAGGTCAATTTTTCCAGGAGCACCACCTACGTATCCGAAATCTGCATCAGCCATTTCCCCGGGACCATTGACGATGCAACCCATGATTGCAATCTGATAAAGAACAGAAATTTACATTATTTTCTGGAATTTAATCCTATGTCATACAGGACAGCGAGGATAATCAGTTACCGAAACACCAGGTAAGTGTGATGTCTTTTCTCGTATTTGTGCACTTATTTCTTGAAGGTCGAACAAAGTTCTGCCACAAGATGGGCATGAGACGTACTCCTGCAACCAAGATTCAGCCTTATTAGATATGACTCTCAAGATTGTTGTTGCTTTGTAGTATTTTGAAGTTCATATGTTTTGTTTTTTTTCCTCTCAAAGATAAGATTCATACTGTCTTGGTATTCCTCATTCTACAGCCCTGTAGTAAGTTGAAAGAAGTATTCCTGAGGAAGTCGAAATCCTGGTCTGGGGCTTCTAGCAAGACACCATCTCCAAGTCCATCCACCAGAAGGCCTCCAGCATTGGTGCCAGCGGTAATGACCAAGTCATCCCTGCATGTAGAGAGAAACATTATAAACTAAAACTATTCATACCTTGGACCTCATCAACAAGCACTATGGGGTTTAATTACCTGTGAATCCCATTTGGAAACTGAATGTGGTGGATTACAGGGAAATCCAATGCGTTCTCTGATAGATACTCAAACAACCTGCGGCAACAAAATGTTCAAGTATCAGAGACCAAGAATGGCAGGCAGTGGGTAGTAAAACTGTACCACTCAAGAACATGAAACGACAGGAGGAGGAACATGACCAAAATAGAGAGAGAGAGATAACTCATAGCTTGCTTCGTAGGCCATGCTTAATCATGTACCGGTCTCAGCAACTAGATCTGGATTTGGATTTGAGTTGGCATGCTAAACAAATTTGTAATGGGACAAAAGACAGGCAATGGTGGATGATTCCATAGGAGGAAATCTCTCTATCTATTTCATGATTAATATAAGCAAATGTGCTTATTATACCCTTCCTCTTTTCAATTTACCTCTTTCCTTTGTCATCACCTAAATTTTATCTCACTATCCAGGACAATTCAAAGTGGCGTGAGTTCAGTTTCCCTCTGTCTGGCAAAACATGACACCCAACATGTCTTTTACCGATAATTCAGCAATGAATTAACACATTGACTTTCAACAAGCCACCTTACCCCTTTAGTTATATGAACAATTCCACCTTGGCTTTCAACAACCCACCTTACACCTTTAATCTATGACTGATTATAAAATTCAAGTCATTAAACATTACCTCCTTGCTGCATGCACTCTGCCGATTTTATATTCATTGTAGGGTATATCATGAAGAAGCATTGTAGCATCAATGCCTTTGAGGATTTCCAACTCTCCATAAGGCTCGTCACCACGTACAGAAACAACCAAGCGTGTACCTGCAAGGTGATGAATTGATATCATATGAGCAACAAGAATAAACAAGGATAACCATCTATACTTTAAGAATTCAATATTAAATATAAGCAGCAGCACCTTCTGGCAGAAGCTTGTAAGCTCCGGTTGATAGTTCCTTGAGGTTTACCAGAGCCATAGCATTAGGCAATGGCTTTGTTAGCTGCTCTGATAAAGGAGTAATAACCCCCATGCTTATGTCTATCAACCTTTTAAGAGCTAGCCGCTGGTTATAACACAAATAATAGTACCAGTCATTTCCATTTTTTTGTCAAGTGTAGAGAGATAGAGAGAGAAGGAAGCTAAGCAAAAGAAGTCAGATTCTTACAGCATCAATGTCATCTACCGGTGGAAGCTCCCTCAGTATGATTGAGTCCACTGTTGCCAAGTCCTAGATCAACATATGAAAATTCAATTTTGATGAAAGCCCACATAATGTAGCCAATCTTTATATGAGTAAATGGACCAAGAAAAGACCTTAAATGGCATGCCAACAACCAGCTTTGCTGCAAGTGACTTGTACAAGAGTTCCGCTGCCTGCAGAACAGGAAAAAGAATTAATAAACTTCTCCCAATCACACCAAATAAATCAAGGAAGCACAGTGTTAAGAGGTTACCTTCAACTGATCCAGGGAAACCGACATAAGAACAGAGCCATCGCGATGCAAGACACCTCTGTAATCCACCTCTTCACCCTATGAAGAACAAATTATCCATTTAAAATTGAACAGAGGCACAGGTATAACTAACACTATGTGACTGAGACATTTATGGCTAACCTCCCTTTGCGTTGGCAATTGACCAGATCGACGCTGGAAATCAAAGTAATGCCGGTGCTTTTCCTCAAATGGTGCCTGATGAAATTTTGAGTTTACGATAGAAAGCTCATAATGACAGGATTTGAAGTGCTAAAACATGTTGTCTAATTAACTGAAGTTGTAGAATCCTACCACCCCTTGCTGGAGTTGAGCAGCTCTCATACCAAGGTTAGCCATTCTTCTGCAGGGATCTATTTCCTCCTCTGGTGGCTCTGTAAGTGAAACCCTGATTGTGTCACCTAAACCATCCTGCAGGTCAACAGAGTTCCAAAGCACTTTGGTTTAGTACATGATTTTGCATTTGAAAATCATGGCTACAAAACTTTAACAGAAATTAGACAGAAGGGCAACGAATTTGACCAATTCTCTGCTCTATGAACAGTTTCTGGCTCATATAACCCCATAATCACATTTTCAATTTTCAATTTAGCCTTGTTGGTGATCACTGCATTATAAAAAAATGAGCAAGACTTGTCGAATACATTTTTTAAAATCACCATAGCTGTGGAGCATAGCACAACCACAACAAGAAAACTTTTAACGGTCATCAGTTGATTGTGCTAGTTATGTTGTGGAGGTACCTGAAGGAGGGTCCCGATGCCAATTGCAGATTTCATTCTCCCATCCTCACCTTCTCCAGCTTCAGTGACTCCCAAATGTAATGGATAGTCCCAGCCATGAACATACATTTCAGCCACAAGCAGACGGTATGCCTGGACCATGACAACTGGATTGCTCGCTTTCATTGAAAAGACAAAATTATGGTAGTCCAACTTTCTACATATCTTAGCAAACTCAAATGCAGACTCAACCTGTTTCAGGAAAATCAATTAGTGGGATGCGTGGAAGAGAAAACACACTTGAAAGCTGTAGACAGGAGGCGATAAGATAAATGTTCACCATTCCCCTAGGAGAATCTCCGTAGTAGCTCATTATGCGGTCAGAAAGGCTCCCATGGTTGGTGCCAATACGCATCGCCCTTCCATACTTCTTACATTTTTCAACCAATGGAGTAAAAACCTGTTGTAGTACATGGGGGTGGAAAATCAATATGCTTAGTGAAACTGATACGTGCATAAAGAATCAGACTGCAAGATGTTAGATGCAATTGGCTCCATGGTTTATTTCTAAATAAGTTTCACCCATATCCTACCGGATAATGCATGATAGAGATCTAAAAGAAGAGTGGACTGACCTTCTCAATGTGCTCAAGTTCTTTCTGATACTCCTCATCTGTATATTCTATCGTCTCAAACTGAGCCCGTCTATCAGCTGCAATTAACCACCTTTTTGGATTGAGAAAAGCTGAAATCAAGATCTAAAGGCAACAATGAACATGCAGCTTACTTACCAAAGTTTCCTGGGTTGACTCGAATTTTGTCAAAGCACTCAGCAACTCGCAATGCTACAGAAGGAGCAAAATGGATATCTGCCACCAGAGGTATATTGTAACTGCACTAATAAAAAGTTAGTGAACATGATTAATTTTCATATTACATACATGACTGAAAATTCAAAAAGTGTAAATAGTTATCATAAAGAATCAGACCTACTTTTTCTGTACCAAAGTGTTTTTTATTTCAAAACATGCATCAGCCTCTCTCTTCCCTTGAACAGTTATCCGCACAATATCTGCTCCCTTGTCTGCTATTCTCATTACCTATTGAAAAGCCAGCAGTAGTTAATTTCGTAATACTAATTCATCTCATTATTTCATACATATTAGAACATTAGTAATCAACTAAAAGCTTAGAGCTCCTCTAAAAACTTCAAAGATCAAACTATTATGACATTTGCTAGGTGCTGTAAACATTAGTGCCACCTTAAGAACAAAACAAGAACATCACATTCTACGCATTAGTCACAGTTTGGCATGCAACAGATATACATTGCAGACCGTTATGACCAGACAATGCAGGAAGAGTGACCCAAACCCATTATTTGAACAGAGCAATTTAAGCAGATGGGAAAGGTTGATACCTGCTCCACTGTCCCAGCAACATCCTTAGTGTCAGTTGTAGTCATTGTTTGAATCCTTATAGGATGCTCACTACCAAGAGCCACATTTCCAACCATTACCGTCTGTGTCTTTCTCCTGACGGTTTTGTGTATGGATTCACAATACTTCTGCCTGGGAACTAAATTAAAACAATATATTAATCAGAGAAAATGGAACTGATACTGACACCTTAACTCATAGGAGGTTCCTTAGCAAACAAATGGAGATAAAATTAACCAGAATATTGAATCCAAAAAAGCCAAGTTGAGATGAATGCTTAGATTAATTGAAAAATGAAATTAACTTGCACTTCGTATAGCTAAAAGACATGGGGAAACTAAGCATAATTGATCATGATTCAAAACTCAAGTTAAAAAATTCAGGGAAAGGAAAAAAAGAACCATCTTTTCACCTAAGTTTGTCAAATTAGTTTATCTAAAGATCAACACATAATCCGAAAAGTAACATACAAATCGAAATTTAATTTCTTTTCTTTTCTTTTCCTTTGTTTGAGCTTTATACCTAACAGAGGGCTCCCTTCTGATGCAGGCTGAAGTTCAGCAATGTCTGGACCAGGATTCTGATTCCTAATCACGGATATTCTTGTTCTACCAGACTTAATTCTCTTCAAATCACAAACTCTGACAAAATCCATACTTTTTGCAAATCCTAAGCTTGAGTCCCTGCCCTTCAAACCCGAAAAGGAAGGTGGTACAGCTCCCGTCGCCATTTCAACACAGCACAAAGCCTTCACCTTCACAGTTCAAAGACACAAAACTCAATAAATCAAACCACCACCCACTATCATGGCTGAAAAAATGGACAGAATTAGCAAATTTTTTTTTCAAATTCTATTTACCCAAAACTGAAAATTTAAAGACATGCAAAATTGTTTGGGTCAAAAGAATCAAACTTTTTACTATATTACCAACAAAAACAGCTGAAAATTACTTCAAAAAATTCTCCGTTTCATGACCATCAACTCAACATACAAAAAAAAAAAAGTATACCCAAAAAGAAAATTGAAAAGAGCAATAATCTACCTAAAGAAAATAACTTTGTAACTGAATCAATCTTTGAAGAAGTGGGTTTTCTTTTTCCAATATGACTTTTTTCTACAAGCAATTTTTTTCCCCATAAGGTAGATAAAGAAAGAGCTTTTAAGAGGGTAGGCTTATAGTTACCTTACGCAGTGATTTGGACTTGAATGAGAGAATTGAAAACTGATGAATGGAAAAGGTCTGGAGAAGAAAAAAATTGGTGGTGGGAGCTGTTTGCAAGGATTTTCAGAATAAATAGGTGGATTTTGGATTATCAGAGAAATTCATGTAGAAAAAAAGAAGAGGAGATGGGAAGTGGGAATAAGACAAAACATTTTTTGAGCATCTGTTTATCATCGGCCATGAAAAAATGCACTGCTGTAAAAAAAATGGTTAATTTTCTTTTTTCACCCTTTGTATTTTGGAATATTCTTCTCAAGTCCCTCATTTTTTTTTCTATTTTTGCTTGTTTAATTAAGGGTCAACCACATTTTATTACTTTGTTTAATTAATATTATCTAACATAAATGTTAAAACAAATTCATAAGTGAGATAATTTGGGTTGGTTTCATGTACATGGTTGCATTGGTTTGAAAAGGAAATTTGTCTTAAGAATTTAATTTTCTTTCCAACTAAATTAATGTAAAATTATGGAAAGAACCTATCATAATTAAATACCTATTTTGCCTAACATTTTTGCTTAAAATAAAAAAACTACTTTGAATGGCTAAACCTTTTATGGAAGTCAAAATTAAATTTCTAAACACAAATTAAAAATTTCAAATTAGCCACTTCCATCTTTGACCTATAAAAAAATTTCATAACTTTCGAAGAAATCCAAACATTCTTAATAAATTAAAGGATAAATGTCACTTTCACTTATTGCAATTTAATTTTTTATATTTATTTTTCAATTAATATCTTATAAATAATTTTAACTTGATAACATTTTATTTCAAAGTAGAAACTTAAAAAAAAAACTCATTTTTGAAAATAATATAAATTGACTTATCAATTTATTATAATCTCTATTCAAAAAAAATTTATTATAATCCAACCCCAACTCAACATTTAAATTCTGAAGGGGTTAAATCATAATTAGGTCATAATACAAGGGCTTAACTGTAACAGTACGGTCTTTCAGACAACGAGCAACAACCAAAAATTTACGTATCTTTGATGGACAGTTCTAAGAATTCCGTTCGCGGAAAAAGCCCAACTAAAACTGAATTACTCCCACTCCCACGCGCTTTCCTCACGCGGAACACGTGGCTCTGGAGGATTGGTTCGTCTGAGGAACCAGGCACTGTCTTAAATCTCCTTAGATTGTGGACTTTTCAGGATTGAGATCCCCATGAAGACATGCAGTTAGGTACCCACGATACTCACGACCCAATGTTTTCCCAACACACGTGAATCTTGAATTAGTTTGCCCTTTCCATCTTCCATCCGTAATCACCCTTTATATATAATCGGATTTGATACTCACAGGTACTCGGTTAAATGTATTTACCAGATTGGATACTCAAAGTTATTTGGTAAAGGTTACTTATTGTCATCTCTATGTATTATGTCCATATATTCAACTAAAAATTTAATGTTAGTTAATTTTTTTTATTTACTTAACTCTTTAAGTCATATACCATGTGATCAGAAAAACTCGATTGATATTAAAGGAAACTCAGGACTCTGGGAATTTACATAGAAGCACCTAAGAACAGAAGAGTCCCCAGGATTGGTGTCTTTGGTAATGAATTATTGAGCATTCTAACGTTTATACTTAGTACTATGTTTCTTTGGTAAACAGTTGAGACAGGTGGGATTGTCCATGGAGAGTTATAGTTCGATATGACTACATTAATCTGAATACATTGCTAGTCAACCAGTCAACAAAATACATGTTTTCCATGTTTTTTGCTGCTTGGTGGTTGTGGGAATACAAACACCAGATGTTTGTCCCCTGCCTGATTTGCATGATAAACTTTTGAGACATTGTACTCAAGTTGAAACTGTTCATGGGGAGGATTTTGACAGGTTCATGAACAAGGTTTGAGATATTGAAGTGTAAGAACAAAGAAAGCATACAGTGCGATTTCATGGGCGAAAATCCAGACGAGTTGCCAAAGAAAGTGAAATGAAATTCATTTCCAGTGACTGTACAAGCTGTCCTTTTTTAACTATCTACTCGAATTCTCATATCCAAGATTGGGTCTAGTGGAACCTAAGAATACAACAGATGAATGTGTTTTGGTCAAAGAGATACAATTACTGTAGAGACACTTCTCTTCTGTGCCCAAAAAGAATCCTTTTTTGTTTCCTGCTGAAAGTTGTAAAACCATATAACGTCCATCCGATTTCCTCTTCAACGACTTGCTGCTTCTCCAAGAAGAGAATACTTCTCAAGGATTGCAACGGTTTCTTCCTTAGCACTGGAAATACAAGGGAAAACATAAATATGTAAATCCTTTCAGGCCTAGAAATTTTGCAATAACAACTTTTCAATGGTGACAGTGACAAGAAAAATAGTGCTTAGGGCAGCTCCTTAATGAGAAACTATTGATTGCATTATATTCTTCATAAGCCAAATATATGTTGAAGATCTGCTAATGTTATAATAAAAGTATTCTACTCAATCATATCCTTACCTTCCAGGCCTAAGAATCTTGTATTTTCCTGGCTTAGTAAGGTCCACAACCGTTGAACCAGCACGACCTGTTGGAAGCACACCACCATCATAAACATATGCACAGTGTTCCCACAGGTTCTCAAAATCGTTGATGCTCACACTACTAGGCTGCCCACTTAGGTTAGCACTTGTAAGAGCCAGTGCACTTTCCGCATCGCGGGCAATAATCCTGATGAAGTCAGAGTCAGGTACTCGCACTCCTATGCTATCTAATCCTGGGTTCAAAGACTTCTCAAGAATGCTTGATTCCCCTGAAAAATATTTCAAGAAACCACATAAATATTTTAGCCCCAAACTTCTTATGTGTTACAGCTGAAGGTTACAAAGCAACAACTACTTTTTTTTCCACCTCAGCAAAATCAAAAACGAATAACAAACCTCGCCCTAGCACAACAGTAACGGGTCCAGGCAGCAGAGAATCAAGTAAGCCATGAGGTAAATGGTCTGTGACAGCAAAGCGCTTTATGTCTTGCACATCCCCAACACAGATCGCAAGAGGACTGGTATGCTTGCGTCCTTTGATCTCGTAAATCTTATTTACTGCTTCTGAAGAACTGCAATTGTGTTCCCATAAAAGGAAATTATCAATCTCTAAAGATGAGGATGAAGCAAAAATATGTTTGCTGATATCTAAGGGTGAGTAATTATTCCAAAACCAGGCAAAAAGAATTCAGCGTGTAACATAATGATCATATAATGAAAACCAAGGACTTGCAATGGAAAATATCCTTTTGTGGTCATCGTCATGCTCATATTGGAAAATCATCGAACAATGCTTCTCATGTGACAATAACTGAGAATAGATTCTCTTAAGAAAGTTTTCATAAAATCAGTAACTCCAGAGAACAATATGAACTCTGGAAATTATCACTTCTTTTTCTCAAATGAGTGAGTTTTCCGCCCCCAACAGCTGAAATTCTCATGTCATGAAACTCCATGCTCTTATTATGTGCTTTTATCCCTTCTTATTCGTTTTCATCCAAGGAAATGCTTCAGAAAACACTCAGCTAAAAACATAAAAAAGGAAGAAAGGAAAACTATTCTCCTCCCTCCATAACTCTGCTTCCCTTTTTCTCTTTCAACCTTCACATTGATCAGAGCGAAGGTCTTCTAAATCTATCAATGTAGCTCCGTATTTTCCCTTCTACTGATCAACCAATAACTTATAAAAGCTGGCTTAAGAAGCTAAAAGTTTGAATTAATAAATTAATTCTTGCCTTCAACTCCAACTCAAATATATTTTGAACTTTTCGGTGTATCCTTCAATCTAGAATGAACCAATCCATTTCCTTTCTAGAAGTAATTGGAATGGACAGAAAAGCTCTAGGCACGAAATGGTGGAAGTATAACACGCTAGTCACATTCAAATTTTGCAGACATTTGACATCTAACAAACAAGGGAAAATAAGAATAAAGCAGAAAGATACCAAGCATCACAAGCAAATCCGTAAAGTGTATCCGTAGGCACTGCAATAACTTTCCCAGCTTTGAGAGCTACAACGGCTTCATCAGCATAGAATTCTGTTGCAGGGTGAACCAAACCCAACTTGCTTTCAACACCCACCTCGTACCTTTCCACATTGGAAGCCATTTTCTTTGAAAACCCACCTCGAAATCTCCTCTTCTGTTGCAAAAATGGAACAAACCCCAACTTGGGCACCCCTGGAACGTTTCACCCAACATTTCAAAATGAATTCATAAGCTTAAAATGAAACAGCAACAGGAACAAAAAGAATAGGAAAAAGAACTATAAGAAACACTAAAAAAACCAAGAAGAGATCAATTGGGGTGACATATTGAGCCTACATTCAGCAAAAAATCCAACCTTTAAAACTAAACAAATAAAATAAAATAAAACTTTCAGTCCCACAAGCATCAATTCTAACGAACCCATCAATGTTTCCATTTAAACAAGCCTATTAATTAAAAAGAAAACCAACAAAAAATCAATCAAAGACTTGGGTTACTTGACACAGAAGAACACTGGGAAAAAAAATGGAGGGAAAAATAGGGAGAAGGTGATAGAGACTAACGATTAAATTGTGGATTAAACAGCACCTCTGAGAGGAACACGAGTGTTGAGAAAAAGAAGCAGCTTTCCTCCAAATCTTGTGGAAAGGTTCATTCTTTTTGCTGGGGAGTTGTTTCTGCCTCTGAGTTCTCTCGTACTTTGGAAGTGCAAGCTGTTCGGTTCTGTTATGTAATCTTTGTCTGGCCTTTCTATCTGACCGTTTGTCCACCAATCTGCCCTAGTCAACGAGGAAAAAACATCACTTGCTTATCACGTGACCTAAATGACTTAACAAAAATTTGAGAAATTAACAATGCAAGCACATCAATTTCATAGTATAATCATTTTGAGTGTTTAGATTTTCAATTTAGTTTTATAAATGTTAATTTGTAATTTATCAATATTTTTTAAAATCGATAATTTATGACTTGCGTCTATGAATTTATGACTTGCATCTATGAATTATGATATTTATGTTTAAATTTTAATGTCATTTTAATATCATTAATTATGATATTTTATTCATCTTAAACCTTTTATCATATAATTAGGAAGCAAATAGTGAAAAACTGCTTTCTTTGTCATAATGAACCCACCATTTTTTGCATTCTTCATTCCTTTGCTTGATACAAAACAAACTCCTTCATAGTACATCTTCACGGCCTTGGAAAAGGAAGTAACTGAATCAAAACAACACCAAAATGTATTCATTCTATACCTTTCTGCCAAGCACATTACAACCTGATTCATGGTTGTCTTTAGAAAAGATCAAACCTGAGAGACTAACATGGGATTTGTAAGGGAGTTGGTCTTGCTGATTTTGATGGAGGCATGCATGAGGAAGCCTATTTGATTTATATTACAGAAGCAAAAGATGCTTCATCTATGGATAAATTACATAGTGTTTGTCTGAGAGAGCCTGCAAGTTGGGGCTAACCAAGTAAAGAGATCAGTTCAGCTCACGGCGTTCTGTTGGTTTACATTAGGACCTCTCCGAGGTGAATTAACAGCTCTAGGGGATTGGACTGGTGGTCGAGTCATCAGTTGGGAACTGTTACGCTGCTCCTCTGACCAGGCCTGCCATCGTCTTCGCCATCGTAGGATCTCAACAACGATAGAACTCCCACTCATCGCAACACCAAATCCAGAAAATGTTGCAAGGAGAATTGATAGAATTGCTTGCACTTTAACCTGCAGACCATGAAACATTTAAAGTAAATTGGTTTTAGTCAACCCTGTTTCACACAAATTTCATGTTTGGAATGTTCATGGTTAGTTTTGGTACAGCAATATCGCTAAAAAAGTGCGGTTTAATAACCTTGGCACTGATACTTCAGATTTGGTAACTGGTTTAATTGGTTTGGGATATGATCAAATAATGGTAATAATGTAATGCACAGAAACACTGCTACTATCCTCAAAAAAGGGAAACACTTCTACATACTGAGGATGTTCACGTATAATCATCAATCTAGGACTCGAAAATTCCATGCCACCCCATTACAACCTAACTGAAAAAATCAAGAAGTTTCAAACAGCATTGCAAGGAAAAGGGTGCCAAAAGGTGTAGAGAACCACTTACCAAAGAATAAAATATATGAGCAAAGAAAACCACCAAAGCAAATTGAATTGATGCGTAAACCCAGACAAATCTTCGATTCACTGAATGCAAACATTCAAGAGGTCCAAGTCAGAAATCTTAATGAACAGTTAGCAGGAATTTCTTATCCAATATTTGAATTTCCTGTAGAATTTCAGAGTTGTGACTGTCATTAGTGTACCAGTATTTCACAGCCTAGTCTACTATGGTTTTCCCTTATCCACTGCGAGTGTCTAGTGTGTGTGCAAGCATGCATGTGCATGAGATTAGATTAGACTCCCACCTAAAATTATAATGGCGAAACGTAAAATGGTGGTTATAAACAAAAACAACTAATTTGTGGTGACCGTATTCCTATTTCAGGTGGAGAGGATAATATATCCGACTCCC